CTCAATTAGATCATCCGAAGACGAATTCATAGAGACCAAACATGGTATATGTAAGGATACATGAATGAGTGGTTCTATCATAAGCATGCATAAAACAATATACAATACAAAAGACAATATACAAGAACAGTAACAACATACACAATGACCTGAAGTATATGTGTGTTCATTCAAAGAAAGGTTTTCCTATGAACTAATTAGAGAAGAGTCCATTTTTATGGGCATTATGTGTCTGTTTTAGAGAGACTTGAGTAAGATTTGATTCTCTTATATACTTACATACTTTTAGGTCGTAAAAGTATATCTAATCTGGCTGAGGGGTCCTGGTTGCCATGGTAACCAGGGGCCTGGGGTCGTTCCCAGACATGCTGGCACCCAGTATTGGGTGAGGGGTCTGTGATTGCTTGTTAATCTAATGAATAATTGATTTGTTAAATCTAATGAACAAATGTGTGTCTGATTGGCAAATTAGCTCAAAAGGGAAATGTATATAAATAATTACAATTAATTATGATTAATTACGATTATTTATATCAGCTGCCAGTAGTAACTGAAGCAGAATTAAATTTCCATCAACCAATCTGTTTGTCCAGCGAACATTCAGTGTAAGTTCTAATCAACTCTAGGAAAGGATATTTCCGTGGCCACAGAAAATACTTTCATACAGTATTAATGCATTAGAGCATGTAGCAAGGATCAAAATCATAAAGAGACATTAATTTGGAAAGGCAGAATCAGAAACTCATGTAATTTGTGCACAAGAGTTTTATTAACTAAACACTAACACAAACTAGTCTAACAAACAAGCAAACAAACAATTACTCATACATGGGAAAGGGCAAATGAGGCTTGATGGATGAAGCCATCAGGAAAAACCAGAGAATGAAGCTATGAAAAGAGTAAGTTAACCACCTGAGTGAAACCATCAGCGCCGTTTTAGAACAGGGTCTACAGCTTATACTAAAACCTCGGTTTCATTTAGTTAAATGTGCGATACTTGTATTGCCTTGGTCGTTGACGAGTGTTCGGATGCAGTCTCGGATGAAAGTCTTGATGGTTTGGAGGTTCGGTGCTGTAGGCGTCGCGATCACCTTCTTCCGGGTTTGAAGAGTGATTAACTCCAAAGATGTTCTGACTCGATGGTGATTGAGAGTTTCTTCCCAGTGGAAAGAGAAAAAGAAACATCAGCTGAGATCCTAGGATCTTTGGTGAATGGAAAGTCAAGGTCGAGGCCTGGCAGGAACTTAAGGGTTGCAGAAGCATTCTAGCTCACATCCTCATCTTCTCAGAGTCTAACAGAACCGCAGACTGACTGAGGCGGTTCACTGATGTGAGAGCTTTATCTGCTACAGAGATCACACCTCCGGGAGGTCACAGAGCCAATGGTGACTTTCACTTTTGGAGGGAAATTTTACGACTCTTTGTCTTAGAGCATGATATTTTGCATATGTAATTTGATTGGGAGTTGATGCAAAAGCTACTTAAGATTCTTAGAACGCTAATATGTTGCATAGATATAAACATATAGTATACACTCTCAATTAGATCATCCGAAGACGAATTCATAGAGACCAAACATGGTATATGTAAGGATACATGAATGAGTGGTTCTATCATAAGCATGCATAAAACAATATACAATACAAAAGACAATATACAAGAACAGTAACAACATACACAATGACCTGAAGTATATGTGTGTTCATTCAAAGAAAGGTTTTCCTATGAACTAATTAGAGAAGAGTCCATTTTTATGGGCATTATGTGTCTGTTTTAGAGAGACTTGAGTAAGATTTGATTCTCTTATATACTTACATACTTTTAGGTCGTAAAAGTATATCTAATCTGGCTGAGGGGTCCTGGTTGCCATGGTAACCAGGGGCCTGGGGTCGTTCCCAGACATGCTGGCACCCAGTATTGGGTGAGGGGTCTGTGATTGCTTGTTAATCTAATGAATAATTGATTTGTTAAATCTAATGAACAAATGTGTGTCTGATTGGCCCAAATGCTACAATAATCATTTTAATTTTAAGAAGTGTTTTCACAGCATTTCAACATTGCATCAACTACTGATGAACACATTCATTTATATTTGAATTATCACTCAGTGAGTTATTTAACCATGTCTTTGGAAGGCCTTTGTCTTATAAACACATTAAAGTGCACAAATTCACTTTATTTCTTATTTACGTGTAATACAGGGATTCCCAAGCTTTTTTGTCATCTGAACCTCTTTCACCTAATAGATTTACTTGAAGTACCCCTCAGATTTTAAGAATTATAGTATTTCAGTTTAAATTAAATGAAAATGAGAAATTTTGCCTTGGCAACTGAAACAAAGTAAGTTTAAAATGTAATATGTTTAGTTTTATTGATCAATAATAACCCTGGGGTGAACTGTGGCATCTTCTTGAATTAAATTCTATATTTGACACAAAATGATAGCTCATTATTTGCATCTCCGTGTGTTTTAGGTCTGGAGACTCTGTTGTGTTACCTGGAGCTTTATCCTCAGCAGTGGGTGGAGCTTCTTCATCCAATGCTCTCCATCTGTAAGCAGCAGTGTTTTACGGCGGTCCGCAACAACTCCGCAAAATCACCAAATTGCACTTTCACAGTCTGAGTAGCTTTCGATGCTTTAAGAAGCTCATCAGTGCTGATTGTGTCATTTTCTATGTTGTTAGATGTCCTCCGGTCGCTGTGGCGCTGGCACGCAAACGCATGGCAGGAGAGTGTGTGGAGTCATGGGATACTCTGGAGTTTGATGTGGTGGAGCTGGCGGACACTATGGGCTGGCAGCTTCCTCTGGTGAAGAGAGGCCTGAGACAGCTGCAGTGGGGCTCAGACACAGATGAGAGGAGACCATGTGATTCACTGAACATCTGATGCATGTTACACACCAAACGGACTTAAAAACGACTAATCAATTTACCTTCCCCTGTTGTCATGTAAAAACAAACTGAGACTGGTCACTTCACATGTCAGTCAGATGGTTGTTCCCTGTCTAAGTGGGTGTTTTTTGGCCAAAATTTATCCTAGTAGTAAAGATTTGATTAGAAGATTAATAAATGATTAATGAATAATTAAAAATTAGGGCTGGAAACCAAGAGGTTTAAAATCTCAGAAAGGGTTGAATTTACCCTTCCACAAGTAAATACCTTAAAAGGTTAAAAAAACAAAATTTATAGCATTGAATGTTGCGTGCATTACAAAAAAAAAAAAAAAAATCAGAATTTTTTAACGATAAAAATAAGCATATTCATAGAACAAGATACATTGGAGATGCTAAATGTAAAATGAAGTCATGAAAAATTAAAGAAAATTGAGTTTATGCATAAAACAAGAACCAATGTCTGTCAATAGAGGAATGAAAACTTGTTGAATCAAGTTGATTTTTTTTTTCTGAGCTCACCGGCAGATATTTGTTCTTGTTTTAATATAAACTCACTTTTTAAATAAGTTTTTCAGAAAACAACACTTTTTTTAATTTCAGTTTGCATCTCCAGTAAATGTATCTTGATTGAAGAATTTTTTAATCAATTTTCTTAAATTTTTCATGACTTAATTTTACATTTAGCATCTCCAATGTATCTTGTTCTATGCACCAGTACGACCAGACACAGGAACAGTTTCTTCCCTCGGGCAATCCATCTCATGAACACTTAACAATAACTGTGGAACACACACTATTTATACACTCATACACTTATCTAACACTCATACTCAGTCTACACCTCAAATTTGCATGCTATAGTTATACATACAAAACTGTCTATTGTAATACACCTGCACATACAATTGTCAATTTATATATTTTTATATATTTACTTGTTCTATTTTATATTATTCTTTTATTTTTTATTATCTGTGTCTTGTCTTGTCACTGTCATTCTGTTACACTGTGGAAGCTTCTGTCACGAAAACAAATTCCTCGTATGTGTAATCATACCTGGCAATAAAGCTCATTCTGATTCTGATTCTGGAAAGCAGGACAAAAATACTGTGGAAGAACATCACTTTATTTGCAGTGTGTTCAGAAGGTACAGTAAAAGTTATTTTCATATTCTAGTGTTTGGGAGCAGAGCCATAAGCTCTTTTATTTTGTAAAATGAATTCAATTTATTCCTTACATTGTCTTTACTTGGTCTTAAAAAGTGTTGCGCTTCCGTTCATAACACCTGCAGAAACCCTGTATTTTATTATGTTGTGTACTGTTGTATTTTATTCTATTCTATGGTGTATTCTATTCTGTTTTCTATTATATTGTTGTGTTCTATTTATTGTATTGTATTTTGTAGTATTGTTCCGTTCTTCTATTCTGTTTTGTTCTGTTCTTTTCTGTTCTATTTATTCTGTTAAATTCTATTCTGTTGTATTCTGTTTTTATTTGAAGGAGAAACGACTGTAGAGCAAAGGAAAACCAAACAGTAGTACAGTATCTGGTTGATTTAAGTATTTGATTTTTGTGCATGTAGGAGCAAGTAAATAACAAGATAGATGGCATAACTTCAAAATAGATCATCTGTTCTGTTTAATTCTATACTGTTGTTTCATGCTGTACTTTATTGTTTTCCATTATATCCTGTATATATCGTCAGGTTCATATGGAGGCACAGGACGGAGTGGCGTCCATGTGGAGTTCTCAGCGCTGTCCTTAACTGTAGAGCAAAGGAAAACCAAACAGTAGTTTGTACAGTATCTGGTTGATTTAAGTATTTGATTTTTGTGCATGTAGGAGCAAGTAAATAACAAGATAGATGGCATAACTTCAAAATAGATCATCTGTTCTGTTTAATTCTATACTGTTGTTTGATGCTGTACTTTATTGTTTTCCATTATATCCTGTATATCGTCAGGTTCATATGGAGGCACAGGACGGAGTGGCGTCCATGTGGAGTTCTCAGCGCTGTCCTTCTATTTCCGCTCCTATGGTGACCTGACGGCAGATGAGCTGGACGCAGTTTGTGTGTTTCTGCTCAGCCGTGTGATGGCACAGGAGAGGACACAGCTGTACCAGCTCAAAGCCTTCCACAGGTCAGACCCACACACTCACCATGACTGAGCTCATCTAATCATTTATGCTCCTTTATTGTCTTCAGGAAATCACATCTCTGAGTGTATGTGTTGTGTTTGTGTGCAGCGTTGCATACCGTAACTGCAGTCTGTGTATGGATGATCTGGAGGAAAGCAGGAGCCAGGCTCTCAAAGAGCTGCTGCGTGATTATTTCGACAAGAGGAGAAACCTGGACCTGAGCAAACACTATCAGGAGGACGTGGAGGAGCTCAACAAATGCAAGGTGTGACTCTTTCACAGTTTCGTTTATGATGTGAACTCTCATTTCTATCTCTGAATCCCGTTGTTGTATTTTGTCCTCAGTTGAGAGACTTGGAGGCTCAGATCTGTGCGGACATCAGAGGTTTGCTGTCCAGTCGCAGTGATTAGAAGTTCTCCGGTCGAGCCGTGGCCAGAATCTTCCATGGCATCTGGGTGTTTCTTGTTATGTTTCTCTCCAGCTGTGGTCATCTTTTGATTTGAGAGTAATTGAGCATGTGTTTCGTTCCTCCCGCAGGAAGTCCGTGTTATCCAGCGCAGACGAACGGACGTGACCGAAGATACACTCTTAAAAATAAAGGTGCTTCAAAAGGTTCTTCAAGCGATGCCATAGAAGAACCATTTTTGGTTCCACAAAGAATCATTCAGTCAAAGGTTCTTTAAAGAACCATCTCTTTCTTACCTTTTTATAATCTGAAGAACCTTCTTTCGCCCCAAAGAACCTTTTGTGAAACAGAAAGGTTCTTCAGATGTTAAAGGCTCTTTATGGAACCATTTAGACAAAAATGGCATCGTGAAGCACCTTTATTTTTAAGAGTTTACTGGAGGAAATCTATTCAAGGATTCAAAGGATTCAAAGCGTTTATTGTCATATGCCCAGTGAGGAAAACAAGTTTCCCTGAGCAATGAAATTCTTACTTTGCAGTCCACAATGAATGCCAAGACAGTGCAAAACTATACACACACATACACAAACTATACACACATACATACACAATGTAAGAAACATAATAATAAAAACTATGCTGCAGTAGTAGAAATATAGACTATGAAAAAAATAGAAATATAGACTGTGTATCTATATATGCGAGTATAGAGTAGAAATATAGAATGTGAAAATAGAAATATAGACTGTATATGGTATCTAAATATGCGAATGTACAGTATTAACCTATGTGCAAAAAACAATAGTGCAGTAACATGTGCAAATTGAGTGCAACTACATGATAACAATAGCAGCAGTAACAGTAACAGATGTGCAAATTGAGATGAGGCTACATGAGTAATATTAACAAATATACAATGGTAGTAATAACAGCGATAACATTACAAATGTTCAAATGAGATGAACAATTTGGACCGACTGTTCTCTGAGATAGATAAATCCACTAGCTAGCTACCTGTTTAAGAGTCTAATAGCTGAGGGGAAGAAGGAGGTCCTGCAATTTACACTCCTGTACCTCCGTCCTGAGGGTAGGAGTGTGAACAGTCTGTGTTGGGGGTGGGTGGGGTCTTTAATGATGGCTGCAGCTCTTCTGTGGACTCTGCGATGGTAAATGGCCTGCAGAGAGGGCAGTGGAGTCCTGATGATCTTCTCAGCAGTCTTCACCACTCTCTGCAGGTGTTTGCGGTCCCTCACTGTAGTGCTGCCGTACCATGCAGTGATGCAGCTGGTCAAGATGCTCTCAACTACACAGCTGTAGAAGTTGTTGAGGATCTTAGGTGACATGCCAAACTTCCTCAGCCTCCTCAGGAAGTACAGCCGCTGTTGTGCCTTCTTAACCAGCTGGGTGGTGTTGAGTGTCCAGGTGAGGTCCTCGCTGATGTGGACCCCCAGGTATTTAAAGCTGCTCACCCTCTCCACTTCAAGCTCTCGGATAAACAGTGGCTGGTGAGTTTTCCTCTTTTTCCTCAGGTCCACTATCATCTCCTTTGTCTTGTCCGTGTTGAGGGTGAGGTTGTTGTCCTCACACCATGCCACGAGACTGGCCACCTCCCTCCTGTAGGCCACTTCATCTCCGCCAGTGATTCAGTTTGATTTCAACGAGATCATTCGTTTAGCTACTCAGGAGATCATTAGAACGAGGTAACTGAATTTACTTATTTGTGCTGTTTGTCATTGTTTTAAATGTTCACATGTTGTATTTTATAACTTCATATATAATAAAGACCAGTTGTTTCTGGTGAATCAGAATGATCTGTAAACACAGCAGTTGCTCAGTCTGTCCTGTAGTGGGCACTATTGTGCTTTTTTGTTTTTTTCACATCCAGATACATTTTAGTGTCAAATTACACATTTATACTAAACAATCCCAAACAAACAACTACTTAACTTTTATAATCATTTGTATAATATAAGTTCATCACAGGCACAGGACTACCTTGAGTAGATGCTTACATGTTTTGTGTAGTTATCTCCTACTGTAATTACAGCCATCACTTTTGAATATATATAAATATAAAAACCAACTCCAGAGTCGTAAAATAATCACCCTTAAAGGATTAGTTCACCCAAAAATGAAAATTAGGCTGCGTTTTACTCACCCCCGAGGCATCCTAGGTGTATATGACTTTCTTCTTTCAGACGAATCCAGTTGGAGTTATATTAAAAATTGTCTTTGATCTTTCAAGCTGTTTAATGGCAGTCAGCAGGTGTTGCATTGCTTCAGTCCAAAAGAAGTTAAATAAAAATTGCCCATCCATAAAAAGAGTGTCTCACACGGTTCCAGGGGGGTGAACAAAGTCTTCCTGTAGCGAAACGATGCGTTTTTGTAAGAAAAATATCCATATTCACGTAATAATTACGTAATAATCACTTTAATCCAGCTTGCGCTCACTGTTGTAAACGGAAGCAGTTCCGGGGGAATGACGTATGAGGTTGGCTTTGCGCATGCGCCGCTCAGAAGTGACAAATGCAGAAGCGCAGGGGAGAGGTCAAAACAAAACAACGGTCAAGGGTCAACGGATTTGTAAAGAAGAATGTCAGAGGATTTCGATATACTGTAAGCCAAGAGGAGACTGGTTTTCCTTTGCTAAAGTAAGGAA